TGAGTCGAAGAATTTGAAGACCAGCATGGGCAACAAAGTGAAACCCAGTCTGTACAGATTTTTTTTTTTAATTACCTAGGTGTGGTGGCATGTGCCTGTAGTTTCAGCTACTCAGGAAGCTAAATCGGGAAGATTGCTTGAGTTCAGGTGTTTGAGGCTGCAGTGAGCTCCACTACCTCACTCCAACCTGGATGACAGAGTGAGACTCTGTCCCCCCACAAAAAATGGAACTAAGATGCAGGGGTTCTGGATGAACCTCTGCATAGATACTGAAAATCACTCAGAAAATGAGAGGAGCAAGGTGAAGGTTGTACTATGAAGTTGCTGGTAGTGACCAAGAGTATATACATAAACAATTTTAGTAGGGGCACTGATAAACTCACAATACAAAGTTAAAAGAAGTAGCCATTAGTAAACAGATAAGGATCATTTAGAAAAAAACAATTTAGGGAGTAAGTCTTCCAGAAAGGATTCCTTCCAGACCCACACCAAAATCCATAAGAAACACAACAGAAAAAACAATGCCCTTAAGATAGTCGTGCTCCTAATAAGAAGAAATCATGAAGGGAGAGGAAACTCAGAAAACTACAGAGGACTTATGGACTAGGGAGCAGAAAGAGAGGAAACGAAAGCTCTCTCTTTCTGTGTGAGGGGTACCAGATATGACAAAGATGATAATCTATTCATGGGGAGCTCAACTTGGAATGACTGAAATAGAGTACTCTGAGTCTTGATGGATTGAGTTTTGACAGCTATTGGGTATTGAGTCATCACTGTCATTAAGTCTAGTATTGGGTCTCAAAGTCAGGGGTGATAGATTGGGAAACTGGAGTTATGAGAGTGGTTTAACACAGAGTCTGCCTGAGGGTTTTATTTAAGAATGTCTGATGTTGTTAATGATGTTGGTAATTATCAAGATAATTAAATGTACTCACCTCAGCATTTAACTGTCTCTTTCATTTTAAATATGAAGATTTTCTCCCTCCCACAACACACACATTCTCTAAAACATTGTGTTTTGAAATAACAAGGCTGAGGATTAATCCTTGCCTTCTCTGATGACCAATTATGTATAGTTGGAAAAAGTATAGTGAACTTGCTTTCTCTTAACTCACATCTTCACACACAATTTGCATAAAATATGTTTTTATCCAAGGCAGCTCTATAATTACACAGAAGTAAACTTAAGAAGTTCCATGACTTCTTCACCCATGGAAGTCTTATTCCCTCAACAAAACTGTAAAAATACAAATTTTGCCTTTCACACAAAAACTAAGTGACATATAAAGATCAATCCTATCATTATGAAACCACCAAGGTAATCACTAAAAAAAGGAAATTTTGACAGATTTGTGATGTGTGCCATTGTAGGTTCTAAGACACTGCAATTCAAAGAAAGGAATACATCAAAGTGAAAAAATATTCTAATGAAAAAATAATTTCAGTATCTAGTCCAGTGTTGGTAGACAAAAATGCTTATGAATCAAAAAGGAGCTGGTACCATTCAGATATCCTTTTTTCTCAATCCTTGAGAAATTATTCTTAGCTTCCTGTAAGAAATGGCTATAAATCTAGAATAATCATTATGAAAGTCTTAACTAAGTGTGGCTATTGCCTAAAGGGAAGACAAAAGTGCAAGGAAAATATAGAGCAGCAGAGATGAGAACTACAGATAACCAGTCTGTGCCACAGGGCCGAACCTGAGCCATAGCAGCAAGAAAAGTGAGTAATAATTGGAAAAACATCTATATCAGTCAGTTGTCCAATGCAACACTCTGTCATAATGGAAATGTTCTATACTGTACAATGACCACGTGTGGATACTAAGAACTTAAATGTGAGCATTGTGGTGATGAAGAAACTACATTTTTATTTGACTAATTTTGATTAATTTAAACTTAAATTTAAATAGTCACGTGTAGCTAACATATAGAGACATGCAAATCTATACACTGATCAAGAAAACATGTGAGTGGCACACAAAAAAAGGAGGAACTTGAGTGACAGAGTAAACAAATCAATTCAATTGAGAATGCCAAATACAAAAGCAGTTTACTAATATTTTTTATTGTGCACAAACCTGGTTCGGTGTAGGAAACAAAGGGTTATAACTAACAATAAATCAATCTTTTACTGCTGATTTCACATTTTCCTGCTATATAGGTCAACCATGTGAGCAATACATTGGGTATTTACATTTACACACACACAAAGGTAGACAAGTTACACCTAGCTATAAATACAGTGAGCATCTGAAATGACTGGAAAACAGATAATCAATCTGCTTTGTTGGCACAAATTATGGAACAAATTCTCACAGTGTGCTGTCTTTGCAGGATTTTATATGTTCTTCTCATTGTTAAACTGAATTACACTCCAACGTACTGAGTAAATCTGTCTTTAAAATGCCCAGTCAGAGGAGAATGATTCAGAATTTTATGCACTTTATAGAACTGTAAATACATATAATTTAATTTTACAGTCAAATTTTAGAATACTAAACAACCACAATCTAAACATTAAGAAATAGATTTAGAAGTGTTTAATTGCTGACAGTCTTTAATAGTGAATGGAAGTCAAAATATATTGCACATACATTATCTCAAAAAAGTAATGGAAAAGACTTAAATTGGATTTTTTTTTCTGATTTTCAGTGCCCCTTAAGTAAAATGCCTTTGCATACATTTCAATTATATGAAAATATTAAACCACAACATATAATTAAGAAAAAATATAAACCTGGTCTTAACATACTTAAAAACTTACAGATTAAGTTAATGTATAAAATTTGTTTTTTTTTTCTTGTTAGAAAGGGTGTGTGTATGTGTTTTTGCATACTAACATGCACATGCAAAAATGTAGGCACTGTATTGGAGAACAATTTATCTTGAAGATTCAAATTAGTAACTTACCACAAGAAGATAGCTTTGCTTTTTATTTAGAGATTTATAAAAATTAAAATTGTACAAATATTTGTTTGAAATAAATACTTCTGCAAAGCTTATTTAAAAAATAATTAACATTGCCTTCCTTTCAACATTACACACATGTGCACAAACATGCACACACATTCAGATGTAATCATTTTTGACTCTTAGCTGTTTCAGATTTACCTAAACATAACTATATAACCCACATAGATTGTGTTAAAACAAAGCACAATAAATGCAAATTTGTTTAAATGAAAGTGTGTTATCTAAATTTGTTTAAATGAAAGTGTGCTATCGAATTATATTAAAAATCAACAACAAAAATACATTCAATAAATTCACAAATAGGTGGAAATTAAACAACATCCTAAATAACCAATGAATGAAAAATAAATTAGGTGAGAAATTAAGGAACATTTTGATGTGTGAAACAATGGAAAAAATATCAAAACTTTTAAGATAAAAGGCAAGACAGTGCTTAGAGGAAAATACACAGCTGCAAATCCTGTATTTTAAAAAAACGAGAAAGATTTCAAATCAATGCCCCAACATTCCATACTTAAAAAAGAAGAACTGGGCATGGTGGCTCACGCATTTCTTAATAACTATCATAATACTTTTACCATATTTCAAGCATTGCAAAACTATTTACTGAAAAGATAAAAGAAAATTCTAATATTTATATTCTGATAATGTTTGACAGCCTAAATTAGGTCAATGAAAAATATTCTTAAGATGATTTTCAAAAAGTCAAAGATGTTCTCTACTTTCTTCAAGAACCTTGTTAAACTGTATCTATCTATATACCACTTTTCATGAAGGTGGACAAATTATTACTTCACACCAAACCTGTGGAATATGAATGGTATCTCATGCTTCTGAGAACACTTAATGTTGTATGCAAGATAAAAGGATTTTCATTTGCTTTTAGGTCAGAAAAGTAACCTTTGCTACCTCTTCCACTGTGCTTGTTCCAAATGGAACAGACACAGGAATAAATACTGCAGACAATATCACTTTATGTGGATCATATGTACACAAAACCTACAAAACATTACAACTGAAGTATTGTGCTTAAGAATGACAAAATTAATTTATATTATTTTCTAACATCTGAACCTGTCCTCAAACTTCTTTATTTCTTTTCTCAAGAAAGCTGGATAATAGTTATTATTGTTCCTAAAATAAGATTTTATTCTCAGTAAATTAGTGTTACTAAAAATTGGATTATTAAAAATAGTACTTAGTAGCAGTCAATACAGTTTTATAGTGTTATTTACTTTCATTTAATTCTATTCTATACCTATTGAACAGAAAGCATCAATATAGCTATGCTAGAACATTTTCTTTAAAGTTTTGACATATGACTTTTATACTCTGATTACCACATAGAGATTTGATTCTTGTTTGGAAGGATTCAGTAACATGCCTTTCCATATAATGGGTAGAGAGAAGCTCTTTCTTTGGCATTTGTTATAGAATTTATAAAGCAGAAGCATATGGGCTTCTGAAACTCGACTAGTAGTACCCCTGTCTCCTAAGCACATTCTAAGAAAGGTTTTGTTTGTTCATTTGTTGTGGCTGTTTTTACTCACTAAATATCAAGGGGGCAATATAAACCGAATTAGTATCATAACAACTCCTCTTAAATCTTAACAGCATGCCTATGGTAATTTCAGGTAGTGATTCCATGAACATTATGCATATGCCACTCAATCATAAGTATTAATACAAAGTTCAAGATGGCTAGAATATGTGATATTTTAGTTAGCTTAAACTTCTCTTTCCTTCACAATATGTCATATCTTGAATTTTCTAGATAGCATAAGAAAGACCACATATCACAGGTCCCCTGTGTGTGTCCTCTGCTCCTCTTGAGGTACCCTGCAAGCAAGTAACAGAACCTCTAGCAATTATTTGACTGAATGAAAGGGTATACCCAGGCATGCTCACAAGTTAGAAAAAGACCTTCTACAGACAGAACTTAGGTGATCTATGATAGGTTCTTGGTTAGGATTACTCAAATTCTACTACTCCCCAGTAATATAAGAAATAGAAAGCTATACTTACTTCTTTGGGAGAAAATGCTATGCCACATTCCAGAGACGTATTTTCATCTAACTCCAAGGAATGTATATCAGGAACTGCAGGGTCTGTGAATTCCCCTATAAGACACAAAAAAGTAGACACAAAGTAGAGTCAGATACTTAGCTATAATCATTATTTAATGTAGAAATGTGAACTTTGAGAAAACTCATCAATATATTCATAACAATAAAAAAGAATTTATTAAAATATCTGAGAAATGATGCGTAAGGATCCTGGGTAAAGAATTGTTCTTAATATCAAGATTCTAATCAGCAAAACTTACATCCAAACATGGAACAAATATATATTCAGTCAGCTAAACTGAGACAATAAAATCGTTTCAAAAAACAACTCCAAAGTTCAAGAAGCATATTATAGTCATACTCAGATAAATGTGAAAAGAAATAAAGGGCAATGTCAAGTAATTGAGTGAAGTTTAGGTCCCAAAATAGCTGGGGACTCTCTTTCCAGTAAAGATGGAGCACAGAAGACCCAGACCTCCTCTGATACCTCAAAGAGTCTACAAAAAATGCAAACACATATCCATCACCTCACTGATATACTTACTATTCACGTCTTGAGGACATGTAAGATGTCTTATTTATCTTCATAGACTCAAAATGTACTGTCTTGTTTATAATTGGGATTCAAAAAGCAATTTATTTAAAAAGAGATGACTAAACCAATGATTGGGAAACGTTATTTGTAGGGATCCAGATAGCAAATATTTTGAGCTTTGTGGGTCATATGATTTCTATAACAACTATTCAACTCTGCCATTATAGCATAAAAGCAACCATATGCAGTATACACACAAATAGGTCTGTCTGTGTTGTAATAAAATTTTATTTATAAAAACAAGTGTCAGGTCAGATTTGGCCCATGAGCCTTAGTTTCTCAACCCCTGGAGTAAACAGGTAAAACAGATTTAGTAAGATACATATTTTATTTAAACCTAATTTAACGTAAACAATATCTAACACCTGAGTAAACATTTAAAGAGAGTTCTCCAAAGACATTTGCCTAAAATTCTTGAGCAATTAAATCTAATGATTAAGATTTTTATTTTCCTTTATGGTACATACTCATATATAACACAAAACTTACCATATTAAGCCAACTAACAAGCACAGATATATGTCATGAATAATTTAAATGTTCTGATATTAATATTGATATATTTCTAGCAATAAAGCAATGATGAGTTACAGAATATAAGAAAAACGTGTATTGGGTAATTTAAAACATTTACGAATAACTGTTCTTAAGTTATTTTTGACATTTATACCCTGGAGGAATTTAAAACTGTTTTGCTTCTACATTAATACAATTATAGTATCAAATATGTACCTGATTTGTCTTTAAGATCCACTGAAAAACCTGGAAAGTCTTTTAGATTAAACTGTACTCTGGCACGTGTTATACCTTTGTTTTTTATTACAAATGGAATAATCTGGGTGGAATCAACATAGGTGCCACTGAACTTAAATACATCCTAAAATTTTAAAAGAAGTAATAATTAAAAAGTAGAATAAGAGTTTACAAAAAATGTAAGCTAAAATATACTGTAATGTTTGTCAAGGAAGTTATTAACTACAAAATCAAACTCTATAAAAATTGGTCACATTTTCCTTCCTCTTCTTTGCCTCCTATACGTAGTAAGTTACCAAATCCCATTGATTCTTCTTTGTTCTTCACATCTTACCTTTATTGCAACTGAAATTAGATACTCGTCACTTTTCATTTAACTTCCAGATTTTGACTTTCTCAAATTCTCCCCTTGGTAACAAAGCCACAATTAAACTAATTAAGAATTTGAACACATCACTTCCTGTCTTAAAATTTGATGCTTTTCCACCATTTATAGGACAATGTTTAAGCTCATTAGCAGGGCTTGAAAAGCTCACCATGAGCTTCCCCTGCTTCATGTCAGCCTCAACTATCTCTACTCTCACCCTATAACTGCATGACTTGTCATTTCAACAAACTGCATGACTTGTCATTGCCAACCACTACCTGATGCTTCTCCCTTTTGCATCTTTATCATGGTGTTCCTTCTGTCAGGAAGGCTCTTCCCTAACTTGCAACTGCCTCATACAATATTATGCATCATTCAAACCCCAGTAGGATATATCATAATTAATCACACTGTGCTTAGGACTACTTCTATTCCTTATATTTAAATATATTATGATATTACATAGTCCTTTGATTTATTTACTTATTGTATCTTCTACTGGATGCTAAGCCTGATTCATTTTTGCATCCCTAGCATTTTATCTGACACCAACCTTAAATATATACGTAATGTTTATTGAAAGTATCTGAACCCTATCTCATAAGCCAGACATGTGCCTATACCACAAAACTCTAGGATATTTCCTTGTGGTAGAGTTACTATAGATACACCAGAGTTTCTTAGTAAAAGAATTAAGTATCACATTAAAAGGGGATTGAGGCAATAGTATTCTAAGACTGAGAAAGATATTGTATTAAGGTCGCTACTATTTGTTTTGCTTAAAGTATCAACCCAGTTCTATATATGAAATTTTAAAAACCAAATGGGCAATGAAAGTGTGATGCTTTGTAATATGTTAAAACAATAACTCCCCTTATCCCATTCTGGTCTTGCTTACATGTTCATTTGAGTTAAATTTCTTCTTCTTCTTCTTCTTTTTTTTTTTTTTTTGAGTCAGAGTCTCACTGTGTCATCCAGGCTGGAGTGCAGTGGCATGCTCACAGCCACCGTAGCCTCAACTTGCTAGGCTCAGGTGATCCTTCTGCCTCAGCCTTCCATGGAACCACAGACATGCACTACCATGTCCGGCTGATTGATTGATTTATTGTAGAGACAAGGTCTCTCCAAGTTGCCCAGACTGGTCTCAAACCCATGGGCCCAGGCAATTCTCTTGCCTCCTCCTCCCAAAGTGCAGGGATTACAGGCATGAGCCACTGTGCCCAGCTTGAATAAAATTTATTAATTGTTATTAAGATGCATGGTAAATACCATCTGTAGCCCTACTGTATAGTTAATAAATATTTTGCTGAAAATACCTGGTAATGCTAGAATATTATTTTTTATTATTTGCATTAATGTAGAGAGTACAAGTGCAATTTTGTTACATGCATATAAATATAATAATGAGCCAGGCTCGGTGGCTCAGCCTGTAATCCCGCGCCTTTGGGAGGCTGAGGTGAGTGGATTGACTGAGCATGCGAGTTCGAGACCCGCCTGGGCAATGAGACCTCATCTCTACAATAAATCAAAAAATCAGCCGGGCGTGGTAGCGCATGCCTGTAATTCCGGCTACTCGGAAGGCTGAGGCGGAAGGATCGCCAGAGCCCAGCAGGCCTGGGCTGCGATGGCCGGGAGCGGCCACTGCACTCTAGTCTGGGCGACAGAGTAAGACTCCAACTCAAAAAATAAATAAATAAATAAATAAATAAATATCATAATGAAGGGGACCTGCTTTGAAAAATCAGGGACAGTTTCTTTGGGCAGAAGAGACCAGAATTAATTCCTGGAGGGCTGACCAGAATTTTAAAAAGTGTGTGTGTGTATGTGTGTGTGTGTGTGTGTGTGTGTGTGTGTGTGTGTGTATGGGCACACACACACTATCAATTGTAGAACAAAATTTCATTCAAAAAATAAATGTGACTATAGTTTGGAAAATGCAAATCAAGACCATAGTGAGGTATCATTTTATACTCAATAGATTGGCAAAAATTAATCTAACAATACAACTTGTAGTGCAATGGAATATGGGACAATGGAAACTACAGAAGACATTTTAGATATTATCTTGTGAAGTAAAATGTGCACATAGCTCTATGTCTCAGGAACTTTGTTCTTAGAGAACCTCTTTTATAAGTACCTCAGAAAATATACATATAAATGTTCACAGCTACAGTGCTTGCATTAACAACAACAACAACAAACAGAAACACCTATTTTGATGGACAAAGGAATGAGTATATAGATTATAGTATGTCTACACAAATAACTATTATGCGGTAGCAGCAATGAATAACTTAAAGTTACACACAAATTAAATGAGTGTTGGAAACACAATATTTAATCATTAGTAACTTACAAAAGGCTACAAACAGTGCATTTTTGTTAAAAAGCTCAAAAATAAGCAAACTAAGCTAGATAATCAATGGCTAAGGCCTTTATCCACATATAGTATCATTACAGGCAAGTGATTATCTCTTTTAAGGAACAACTTCATGATGAAGCCTACAGATGATATGAATGATATTGGCAGTGTTTTGATACTTACGTTCAGGTAGAATCCTTAAACTTTCACTCAGTATTCTGTTTCAGCACATCCATGTATATGCCATGTATTAATTTTTATCAATTTTTAATTTTACATGTAGCAATTTTTAAATAAAAATATTAATACATAGTAAGACATCTTAAAACATAAATGGGATGACTGGAGCATATAACAAATAAAAATTACCACGCATAGTTTGCTCACACAAATAAGTAACATACTCACCGGATTGATTTCAACATCAGCAATCTCAATAGATCCACCAATCCTAAGGTCTATGACATTTGCATGACGAATAGCAATCTTATTTAAAAGAAATATACAGTTTTGTAAAAACCACATTAAAATATAATTATATGTTGAAGTATCATCTGGCATTTACACAATATATAATAATTTAAATAATAGCAACATATTATACATGTACAAGAGTTATTCTGGCAGTTGTCATCACATTTTCTTTTCTGTTTTTCTTAACTTCAGGTATCTTTTCAATGTACCTTTCCTTAGGAAGCTCTTTGATAATTTAAGCCTGAGTTGTCTACTTCACTGGTATGCTCCCTTAGTCTGCTGCATTTCTTTATCACAGCACTTAGTATGCTATATTTTAATTATTTATTGACTTGTTTGTGTTCCCCCACCAGACTGTAAGCTCTGTGACATCAAGGACCTTGGTTATCTTGTACATCTTCTCACCCTCAGCAGTTACAACAGAGACTGGTGCATAATGTGAATGTTTGATGAATGAATGCATAAATCTCATTCTATTATACTGTTTAAAAAAGTAAGATTTGCCGGGCTTGGTGGCTCAGCCTGTAATCCCGCGCCTTTGGGAGGCTGAGGTGAGTGGATTGCCTGAGTCCGCGGG